CAGAGGACGCGTCTATACCAGGGGTAGGCAATCTATGGCACGCGTGCCAAAGGCGGCACGCAAGCTGATTTTCAGTGGCACTCACACTGTCCAGGTCCTGGCCACTGGTCCGGGGGCTCTGCATTTTAATTTAATTTTAAACGAAGCTTCTTAAACATTTTAAAAACCTTTATTTACTTTACATACAACAATAGTTTAGTTATATATTATAGACTTATAGAAAGAGACCTTCTAAAAGCATTAAAATGTATTACTGGCACGCAAAACCTTAAATCAGAGTGAATAAATGGAGACTCGGCACACCACTTCTGAAAGGTTGCCAACCCCTGGTCTATACTATGGCAGTACAGCTATGGCACTATGACCATAGCTGTACCAGTGTGGCTGTTGTAATGCAGGCATATCTTAAGTATGCAGTGACACAAACAGCATCATCAAAACAAAGCATCATTTATTCATTCCTCTAAGGTACAAAGCATGTAGAGCAAAGGATAAAAACAATAAAACGCCTCTTGGGTCATATTAACAACACCTGGCAAAGAAAGTTTAAGGTGTAAATTCCTCTCAGCTTATCTAACTCCATCTAACTGGCAGGGAGAAGCAACTTCTCTGAGTACAGCAGACTACTTAGGCTCACCCTTGGGAAGAGTCATCCATTCTGGGCTGCATGGAGCCAGACGGGGTATTGTCCAAATTGTTTCCCTCAAGGACCCTTGTCTTTGCCATTGTTTCATTTCTCTTTACAGCCTCCTTTTGATTTAACTCCTGGCCACTGGTTGCTCATGAAGTTTTTGACTGGCGAGGCATAAATCACAAAATAGGCTACACAGTGTTTAATTGAATAGCTACTAAAAGCTGTCCTTATTTACAGTGAAGAAGCAGCAAGTGAACCCAGGAGCTGGAGCCGCTACCCAGCCCAGAGTGGGAGGGTGGGAGGAAGAGCATAAGGCAGGCACAGGGCTTAATGGCAGCTCCTCACGCGCACACATGGGGCCAGAAAGGCGCAGGGTGTAGGCCCCATGCCCGCAACCCTCCTGCATCCTGGGCTGCTACAAACCTGCCATGGCCTCACCAAGCAGTGGTTACCACAGCAACGCCATTATAAAGTGACTCCTGGGCGTTGTTAAATTGCCATGGTAACAAGGCAACTTCTTGAGGCACTATTAGGTATGCCAAGATTTGAGTCTCACGTGGCACTATGTTCTTCAAAGTTTCTGGCATTGTGTTTCACCACTGGAAAGAGTGAGTTATGACATTTAAGCCTAGTGACAATTTGTCCTTAAATCTGTATATATTTATCAATGAAATAAAAAAGAATATGCAAAATGTATTTTATAGCTTTTGGGAATTCTTGGTTTGGCTGTGCCTCACTTGCCAGTGCCTGGGCTCCTGGCATTTAGGCAAGTTAATACCACAGATAACCTGAGGGGAATATGATGTTTATAAAAAGAAGTACTACACAGAACTCCCTTTCTTTTGTAAGCATTATGGCAAGGGAGGATAATGAGAGAGCTTTGCAGATGTTTTGCTTTTCCGTAGGTCCCAATTCTCTTTTTGTTCATGGTGGGAAGAGGACTACAACTATCTCTGTAAGAGCAGTGATTGTTGAGTCCTGGCTCTGGCCCTCAGTGAGGCTTGTGACTAGAACTGGTCAGGAAATGTTTGAGAAAACTGTTTTTGTTGAAAATGCCAACCCAAAGCTTTTCCTGCAAAAGGGTGAGTTTAGGGGAAACATTCATCAGGAAAGGTTTCTCGGGACCAGGATGGAATTGTGAAAGCAAGAGATGCCCGCACCCCTTAATCCAGAATAGCCAGTAGCTGAGTGGTTAGGATACTTACTGGGGATGTAGAAGACCCAGGTTCAAGTCCCTGTTCTGTTTTAGGAGAGTGAAACTATGTGTATGATTTTTATATATAATATGTATTTAAAACATATGACATTTAACTAGTATAGCGACTCCTAACTGGCTCCACCTGACTGGTGTCTGTGGTTTTTATAATCATCCGTACAGACTTTTCATCATAATGCTGCCTAAAGCGTGTCTTTGATTTAATAATTAAAAAGGAAAGACGGATGTATTTGATTTGTATCACTGATGAATGCAAAATAAGTGTGTGTATTTCTTTTGCTGTCTTTCCCGACATGGTCTGTGGTGAGTCTGTCAGTAAATATTGATTAGTGCATTGCCTCAGGAAGTACATATGTCACAACCAGTTCATTGAGGGTCATTTCTTTTCAGTTCTCCACAATCAGGGCTCTAAGCCTACTCCCCTTTGCATGAAAAAGTGTCATATTTTGAGTACTCTACTTATTATCTGAAATTGGTTAAAGGCAATTTAGTGCAAACAGCCGTGGTACCTGATGTGTAGAGGAGATGCAAATAGGGAAACTGTATATAATTGTGCTTTTCTACTATGTGGGAGAGTCTGCCGTTAGGGTTTTTTTTTAAGATAGATGATTCTTTTGTATCTTAGGATCTATCATTCTGGATCACTGGTTTATTTTGTCTGGGTACTTCAATGGGCAGATGTAGCAGAGCTGAACAGGAGACATTTTGTGCCACTGATCTTTTTTGTATTTTATCTCTCTCACTCCTGTTACGTGCAGTCTCTGTGTCTTTTCCTCCAGGATCTTTGTTGAGGTTTTCATTGTTTATTTACACTATTGTTGTTACTTTGTGAATTCTTTTTTAGGCCATCACGTATCTAGAGGGGAAGCTGGTCAGAATTATCTTTGCAGCTTTAAGTCTGCCTATCAGGTAGAAAAGGGTGAAGAGTGGAGGTTAAGTCCCCCTGGCAGATGCAGAAGCGGCGGCCTTTTGGAATTGGAGAAACTGTACTGTGCATTGAATGGTTTTAAGAACAGATTTCCTTATGATGGGGTTGCCTTCCCTTTTCTCCCTGTTAGCTTCCCCAGCATCAGATAAAAATCACCTCTTTAGCGAGATCAAGTGGCACAATTCGTCACTGTTTGGTATTAGATGCATTTGTTTTTTCTTTTTGGGGAGAAGGGTAATCTTAGTTTCTTCTGTGTTCAGACAATTCATACTCAGATTTTTCAGGGACAATTCTTTAAATAAACCCTCAGTCAGAGAAGGGCAGAAAGCAGTTTGCCATTTCCAGGGCCGGCTCCAGGCACCAGCCCACCAAGCTTGTGCTTGGGGCGGCACCTGGAGGGGGGCGGCGCGGCGCTCCGGCCCCCGGGGAGAGCGGGGCCACAGCCGGGCTCGCCGCCCTCCCCCTGGCGCTCTGGCCGCCCTCCCCCCGGCCGCTGGGGGGAGAGCGGGCTCGCCGCCCTCTCGCTGCCCTGCCCCCTGCGCTCTGGCCACCGGGGGGGGGAGCCGGGCCCTCGCCGCCCTCCCCCCCCGGCGTCCTCCCCCTTGGCTACCGGGGGGAGAGCGGAGCCCCCGCCAGGGCTTGCCGCCCTCCCCCTGGGGGCTCCGGCCGCCCTCCCCCCCCCCGCAGGCGGCAAAAAAGCCAGAGCCGGCCCTGTCCATTTCCTCAAATATATTAATCAGGCAAATTTACTTCCTATGTATCTCTTTTATTCCCCCCCCCCCAACTTGTTTGCCTTTCATTTGGGGCTAGCCACCAGTGAGAGGAAGAGGACCATGAAATATGAGACACCTTTGAGTACTCCCTAACATTGGTGGTAGCTGTGGGGGAAGGAATGGAACAGGCTGTAAACACCTCTTTTTCTGACAGTGGTATGTGGAGGGGGAGGGCAAGTTAGTCCTGACTGGGGTAACAGAAATGAGTGAAACTCTGTGAGAAGCTTATTAGGTAGTGGAGGCTGAGGCTGAGCATTGGGTTCCTTGTCCTAAGTTTCTCTTTCAGCTAAGGGTTATGCTAAGCGTGCCTAAGGCTATGTCTGCACTACGGACAGCCGCTGTAAGGTCTCCTGTGTAGCTGCTCTATGCCAGCGGGAGAGAGCTCTCCCGCCAGCATAATTAAACCACTCACAATGAGCAGTGGTAGCTGTGTTGGCAGGAGAGCCTCTCCTGCCCACATAGCGCTGTCCACACCAGCGCCTTTCTTGGGGAAACTTGTGTCGGTCAGGGGTGTGTTTCTTCCTTGGACATCCAGTTGTGGCAGATGGGGCCAGAGATTCCTCTGAGGGGAGGGATTAAGCTATTGTGGGAGCTGAGTTGGGAAAGTTTCTGTTTTGTGAACTGGCTTCTTCAGTCTGGAGAAGGGTTGTTGGTTTGTACCTCAGTCTGGAGAAGGGTTGTTGGTTTGTGCCTCATCTTTTTGGATTGTATTTTAAAGTATTTGTTAAAGAATGTAACCTGGGTTAGGAGTTCCTTGGTGTTTGTATACACTGGAATGAAAATAAAAAATAAAAATATTTAAAATTGGGGTAGTGGTTATTCAGATACGTCACGTGTTGGTATTAATGTTCTTTGATAGGATGAGCACACAAGCATTTGTATGTGTGATTTTTAAATGTCTGTGTGTGTGCACGCATGCATGTGTACGCATACTTGGGCATGTGACTTTAAAATTCTCCACTGTTGTTTTGCCAGTAAAAGCAGCTAATATGAATGTTTTACAGAAATGGGCCTGATTGTGACTGAGGCAAATTCATTTGAACGAATACTCGGGTATATTTTAGCATCTCCCTTGCAATTATCCTGTTGTAGGTTATTTTAGGATCAGTATCTTGCTCTTTAGAGTCTTCCCACCCCGACCCCTGGAAAACATTTGGTTTGGATAAGATATCTGACAGTTCAGATCAATCCATGCTCTTTTTTTTTTTTTTTTTTTTTTTTTTTTTTTTTTCTCATTTCTTTCTCTTTTTTTTTTTTTTTTATTAGCAGTTGATTTGGCCAACACATTTCTGGACCTTGACATGATCAGCAAATCAGTACAGCCATGGATGGCTATTTTGGGGCTGGAGAAATGGGGAGGGACTAAGGAGTTGCTGTAATCTGCTGCACCTTCAAAGTACAAGAAAGCTGATATTTACCTTCCCCTTTTCTGTTTTTTCTCTCTCTTAGGAAATACTGTGTGTTACAGACTGAGACATCAATCCCAGCTCACCCCCCCTTTTTTTTTCTTGCCTGAATTAGAAGCTCCAGGAATGTGCTAATTGGCGGCGGCCTCTTCAGAGAGGTAAAAGGTAATTGTTATCTGCCTGCTTTAGGTGTCTTGCCTGTTAAACCTCTTTTGGAGCAGGTGGGAAAGGAGGGGAGGGTAAAGTTAGAATAAGCTTGTCAATGTGGAATTTTTATTTTCTTAGATCATCTCCAAGTTGATGAGGATGGTTTTCCATCCTCTTCAATGTACTCATGCAAAGAGAGGCTTCTGTGTATGTTCATTCATGCATACAGTCCTGTCCTGTGCCTATTTCTATGTGTAGGACAGAGAGCTCATTTTGAGCAACTGCAGGAAAAGGTTTGCTTAAAATGTTAGTAGAAAACATAATTTTTTAAAAAAATGACCAGTGCATTGGTGGAATGATGATTTATCTGCATTAGCTTAGTTCCTGGGCCCCTGCCCTCCACCTCAGGTCCTCTGTGGTCATTTACAATCTCTTGTTCCATCAAAATGATGGAACAACAATACCAGGGGAGAAAGGCCTCCCATTGGGCAAAATACCAGTTCAGGTAAAATGACCTACATTTGAATAATTCTGCATTTGAATCACATCTTTCCTTGAGATTTGGAAAAGATTGTGTAATAATAGTAATACCTAGATCTTACATAGCAATTTTTATCAGTAGATGTCAAAACGCTTTACAAACGGAATCAGTATCAATATCCTTTTTTTACATATGAGGAAAGTGAGGCATGGGTGGATGTGACTTGCCAAAGGTTACACAGGAGACTGGTGGCAGAGCCAAGAATTGAACCCAGGTTTCCTAAGTCCAAATCCAGTGCCCTATTTTCTACACTATGCTTCCTTCCAACTGAACTTGTTTTTCATGTATTTAAATGCTTCTAGTTCCAGGCAGAAGTGCCAGAATATGGTATGTGTGAGCCTCTATGTAATAAATTCCATGGCCATAGATGATGGCGTGACCTTATGTAATCCTCACTCATCTTTCCATTTCTTGGAATATCGTTTATATGGAATATGGTTTATATTCCATGTCCACAGTGCCCTGCAAGTTAATGATTGCAAAGCAGTTTCTATCCTTACAAGCATTTTAGATGAACCTATCTTAGAACATGTTTTTAAATGTTGTTACTTCCTGCTGAGACTTTCAGGTGATGCTAAGAGAGTTAAGTGGCCAAGTTCCATTGAGAGCCAAGTTGATTTGAGCACCTAATTCCTTTAGGCTCCTTTGGAAAGCCCATTGTTCATTCTTTAGCTCTCTGTATCCTACGATAACTGATTCCTAAATGAATCATTCGCCCTGTGATTCAGGGGCACCCATGGACAACAGTCCCATAGACTGTTTGATGCAAAATGTAAAACCTCAGACTAAGTGCAGATACCGCAAGGTATAACTTGCTGACCAAATGACAAACTGCAGGTACGCAAATCTGCCTGGAGCAGTTCTGTCCCATATTTGCCACCGTGCTGCTGATAGTGGGGAAGAAAGCAAATCCTTTATTAGAAGGGCCCCTATTGGGTGACCATTTCTGAAACAAAGCAATGGACCTTTCGGGTTACTCTTTCTGGGGAGCTTCAATTGATACTAAGAGACAAGCAGAAACCTACAGACCAGTTGAAGCATTCTAATGGAGTCTCCTGGAATTTCCCTAGGGCTCCTTCTAGGTAATTACCTGTCTATCACTTTGTCTCCTATCTTTTAACGAGGGAGGAGTGCTAGACTCCCAGACCACTAATCCTTATTACTGTAGAAAGGTACGTTTCACTCCTCCCTTTCTCACCTATGAAAAATGGCACCAACTACCCAGCTGGCTTGGCTCTCTACATCTTGTTTAAAAATGGCTGATAACCTTTCTCCCTGGCTGCCAGACAAATCATGGGAATCTCCTGACTACTTCAGGCATGTATTCCCTGAATTAGCCATACAGGTAAGAGGGAGTTGATAGGGAAGAAAGGCTAGCAGAAGCCACCTCACAATCCCTAAATCCACTTTCCCCCAGATAGATTCTTTATTAGAGCTGTGGGATATGTTCATTTCAACCCCAGAACTTGGAGCAAATTGACTGAGATTTGCAAGCCTGTTCTGACCTGGAGTTCTGGGCAAAAGCCACTGCAAAACCTGGCAGTTCCAGCTGAGGTTGCTTACAGTCTCTGGGTTCTTTCAGACCCCCAAACTCGCAGGAACTGGGTTAATGTAAACCTGTAAACCCAAACCTCACAGGGTTGTGGAGGGTTTTTTTGGTGGGACTCTGCTCATTAGCCTTGTGGGGGGTTTTCTGTTTGTGTTTTGTTTTGTTTTAATCAATTATATTTTTTCACTGAAAACTTTGCATTTACCCTATATTCCCAGTCTCTTCCTGTGAAGGCCCTGCTTCGGGACTATTGCCATTTCTCTTAGGCCAGGGTACTCGGTCTGTGCCTCTATTACCTCAGCATAGTACTGGGTTTTTCCTTGGATAACCCCCTCTCTTCCTATTGCTGGCTCACATTACTGTAACAAGTCAGAGATTTCTTCCCCCTCCTCAGCTGTTGCTTACGCCAGGAGCTTAGACCTAAAGCCCCTTGTCCCTATATGCCCCTCTTTTCTTTATTCTTCACCTGACCAACATGCCAGAGGTCTGGGGAGATCATGCTGGTTTTGGGTGATGTCCTTTTCCAACTGCTTCCATGTGTCAAACTCCAGGAAATGTACATTGTTAAGCCCCTTGACAGTACCTTAGTGCAGCATGTGTTTTTAACTGTCTGCTTATGTATGGTATTTAAGCAGCAGTCTGCTATCAAATGCTATCACCCAGTCTGTATCCCTTGGGGTGAAAAGCTTTAGGAGAAGAGGTGGGACATGGTAGTGATATTTTGGAAACAAAGCAAAAGGAAATTCTTCCAAGTTTGTTGGGCTGAAACCTTTTGGACGGCGGGGGAAGGAGGGAAGAAGGAAAGATATTCTTGCTGGACTTTGAAGTATTTTTTCAGGGGGTGGGGAAGAAGGGAATGTCTGATTGTTAAGTAGCCAAACATTTGCTGAAGTTTCATGTTTGTTGTTTCATTGCTATACGTGGAGTTACCTTTTTTGTCTTTTCGTCAATTAAACTTGGGCAAAGATTTTTTGCTCCTAGAAAGTATAAATCATATACAAAGATGAGACCCTGTTCATAACTGACACACTTAGAATAACAATAAGAAAAAAGTGCTTTCAAGATTGGAGCAAAGTCATCTCTTTATTTTATTTTTTCCCTCTCTCCTAACCCATCTCCAGAGAAAAGGTGATACAGCTTCTAGCTAACATATTTCAGGTGGGTGACGCTGTGGTATGTTAAGCAATGTCTGTAATAGCTTATCTACTGGTGGTAAGCTTACTCTGTTTGTATTTCTCTTTTCACACATAAATCAAGTTAATAGTTTTCAAGACTTTGAGCAGTGTTTCAACAGGATATTTGCTTAATGTCTTTTTTTTTTTTTTTTTTTTTTTTTTTTTTAGAAAGCTTTTAAGATAGGTTTTGAGTTAGGATTTCTAGTACAGCAAACATATCCAGTGTCAAAGCTATGAAGCTATCCAGAACCCATCCAGGAGTCAGACTTCTGAGTCCCAATGAATTAACGGCAGAGCTTGTGTTTCCAGGGGTTCCAGTCTCTGGAGACCTAATCTTCACACAAGCCTTAAGTCCTGATTAAACAGTACATCACCACTTAAGTGCATGCTTAACTTTAAGTTATGCTAAATTTTAAGCACATGCTTGTGCTTAAGTACTTTGATGAATAGGGATGGACTTAAGCACATGCTTAAATGATTTGCTGAATTGGGGCCTTTCTACACATTGACCCTGTAATCCTTCAGCAGCACTCCTTGGATGGGAGGAGGAGCGCTTCATGGAGGCTTGCATTTCCTTCTGCCTGAAGAGCTCTCTTTAAGCGCTAGTTATGCCTATGCTTGGAAGGATTAGATTTTTATTGGTAAATATCAGTAAATGTCGATTTCACTTTCCATACACAAACCAACGAAAAAATATTTCCATCAATAGTAATCAAAATTTACAGATACTCAAAGTAAAAAAAATGCTGCCTGAGTATTTTTTTAACCATTTAAGAATATTTATTTTGTATATTTTGACATGTGATGCTGACCATCTGTTACATTTTAATTGTTACAAAGCTTTAACATCTTGAATCTCATCAGTGTCCACTGTCATTAAATAACCATTGGCTGACCCCTTCCCCCATAATTCTGCACAGCTTTGAAAATTTAAATTGATAAAAATTGGAAAAAATGCTTAAAATAAAAATTGATAATGTAAAATTATATTTAAAAAAAATCAAATTCTGCCAAGTCTTGTTATACCATATAAGACAGGGGTGGGGAAACTACGGCCCGTGGACCGGATTCGGCCCGCGAGCTGTTTTAAGCCAGCCAGCAAGCTCCCGCTGGGGCGGGTGCCGGACTTTGTGGCTCGGCCCTGCTCCGGCGCTCCGGCCGTGTTACTTGGTTGGCAGCCGCATCATGTGGCTTCGCCCTTCTCTCGCGCTCCGTCGGAATGCTGGATTGGGGGGCCGCACCACGTGGCTCGTCCCTGCTCCGTCCTGGGCGCTGGGTCAGTGGTCCCGGAAGCCGCGGCATGGACCCGCTCCGGCTCCTACACGCTCCAATGGCTTCCTCCGGTGCGCCAATGGGAGCTGCAGGGGTGGTGCCTGCAGATGGGGCAGTGTGCAGAGCTGACTGGCCGTGCCTCCACATAGGAGCCAGAGAAGGGATATGCCACTGCTTCCGAGAGCCACTTGAGGTAAGCGCCGCTCTGCGCCTGCACCCCGGAGCCTCTCCCTACACCCCAACCCCCTGCCCCAGCCCTGATCCCTCTCCCATTCTCCAAACGCCTCAATCCCAGCCCGGAGCTCCTGCACCCCAAACTTCTCATTCCTAGCCCCACCCCAGAGCCCGCACCAACAGCTGGAACCTGCACCCCTTTTTGCACCCCTTCCCCATCCCTGATCCCCCACCCGCCCTCCGAACCCCATGTTCCCAGCCCAGAGCACCCTCCTACACCCCCCATTCCATAGCCCACACCCCCAAC